ACCTGTAAGTGTGCTGCTGGTTAAACTGTTTAAACATGTTTTAATTTGATGAATACAGTTAAACCGGTGCTGGAATGTGTGGAAAGTACCGGCCAAGAACGAGCTCCATTAAACTGAGTCTGCAAGATTTTCACCTTTGTCGTTTTAGACGTTCTAAGGGATACTATTGTACCAGATATACATGTATGTCCCGGTGACAATGTACCTCAATAAATGTGGCATGTAAAACTCATCAAGGTGCTTCCACGCGTAAATTGTTAATGGATTAGCTTAACAAGTATTGAAGTCACTGACCTTTAACTTAATGTTAAATACTGCTTGAGCCGGTGGTAGGGGGCGTGGAGGGTACTTTGCTTTCCAGTACCGACCATGAACAGGCTCAATCAAACCGAGTCTCTATTTTAACAAAAAATGTTACTTAACACCGACGCCAGTGAATGGGTCATGACAATTATAGCTTTTTCTTTGAAACGTTGAGCTAAAACAGCTTTAAAAAAACACAATCATTTTATCTGCTGATGAATACGTGCAAGCTGGCGGGTTTACTGTTTATTGACAAAGTAAAACGTGAGATAAATTACAAGCAATAGATCAGAGCAACAGTATTTAAAGAGGTGTTGACAATAATATTTGATATCCAAAACGCTATTTTTTTTCAAAATTGATGCTTATAGTTTATGATCCAATTGGAGTTCTTCAAGTGACCAGGAATATTTCACTGTTACCTAGGTAGAAGCACCGTTCAATTAAACTCTGGTCACGTCTAATTTTCCGAAGTTCAATTTGTAACATTGAAAATCTTGTGGTAATCTGGTATGTTTTCCAGAATTGTTTTCTCGATTAAACGTCTAATTTTCCTTAAGATCATTCCAAGAGTCACAAGAAGTAGCTGTTTGTAACGTAGTGTGTCTTTTCGCATTTAAAAAATAGTAAAATAAAACCTGAAGTTGTTACATCCGGTTTTAGACAGTTAATGTTGAAATGGGGATTTATCAAGATGAAACAAGCAAAAGGTTTAATCTTATAAAAGGAGGATTTAAATGAGAGCAGCTGAAGATTGGTTTTGAAAGCACTAAACATATCTAAACCAGATCAAAAGTAGGATAAAGGAAATTGCAATGGCACGTTGTGAAAACAGGAGGGTAAAAAGCCAATGAATCATATACTGATAACATCAGATTAAATGTTACTCATAACCTGTATATAAGTGTTGGTGATTTGGTTTCTAAATGAAACACAGCTCATTCTATGCGTAATTTCTCGCAGATATCAGAGAAAAAAGTAAAATACAATAAGGAGTTAATGTTAGGTCTGCTAAAAGTAGTTTCATCACTTCAGATAAATTTTTGATACAGTATATGTTGGCGGTATTAAAATAAATATAACTAATAGGTTTGTGATTTACAGTAAAATATCATATTATCTGTACTGTTACCCAAAACATATGTGTTATTTGAATCAAACTATTCTGTTTCTTATTTGTACAGCTAAAATAAACAAGAGTACTTGAAAATAAATTTGACGCATATACATCTAACTGTAAATTTTTTAATTATTAAATGCTAAAAGAAGAGGTGAAAAGTTTAGTTGATAAACGTTGTTTTACATCAAATATATTCATGAAGTGAAGCAATTATTTTGTCAACCACAACTGACGGGACGACGTAGCAGATAGATGGTAAAATTAAAGAATACAGATCTATGCTGCAATACATTTATTTTATTGTGTTTTCGCCTTTCGTCTATAATTTATGCAACGGGCCTCTTATAGCTTTTATTTAATCCTTACATTCCATACTTTGATTGTCGATGACATGGATTTTTATTTGATAGATTGGTCGTTTATTAAAATCTAGATTAATTCATACCGACCACACAGAGAGATGTGAAGATTTAACAGAGTGCTTTCGAATTCTTTAAGTCATTCTTACCTGGGGCCGGTTTCTCAAAGCTCTGTTAAATTTAACCGTCCGTTAAATCCACTAACGGACGGTTAAATTTAACCTTTGTGTTAAATCCTGTTGCTCAAATTTAACTCTCATTTTAACGTTAACTTTAACGGCTGAATCTGTCTGTTAATTTAATCGAGGATTGAACCTCCTTTAAAAGAGGAATCCTAGGAATGATTCTGTATGTGTTTTTATGCATTGACAGTCGTATTTAAATGAAACATATGCAACATATCAAAATAGATATAATGAAGAAACAAATTTAAGCAATTCCTAATAGTTAAGTTTTCTCCAATTGAAATTTCTTCAATTACAAGCCGTTGTTTAAATCTTTTAAATGTATTTAATCATGTTTTTGTTCAGGTTTAAAACACACAATGATGCATAAAATAAGGTAGATTCTTTTTCAATTTTAAGTGTCTATTAAAACAATTGTGTATGCATACAGTATTAGTTCTACATCACTATTTTCTAACTAGTGTTAATTGGTATTCTGAGATATTTTTAAAAATAATCGATCCAAGCAAAAATTGTAATGATATTGATAATTGGTTACGATTATGTTACGATTATTTTTAAATCTATTCTTCAAACATATAAATTATTTTTGCTTCTGACACTGATCTCTCAGAGTTTAAATTACATTATATCCTCAATCAACTCACATGGGAAATGATCACAGGTCAAAGTTCAATGTTTATTATTGTAAAAGAGGTTATGCTCTTTGAATTTTACATCTAGTTTGATTTCATTAATCAGCATGTAGCATAATAAACTTTGAATAATAAACCGAACTACATAATTTATAGCGTAGAAGTAATTTTCCTGACGTCATTTGGTTATTGACGTCATGTCTGACGTCATATTGGGTGTAAGCATCCATTTTTTATGCTGTGTACATATCGTATAATGTGAATAATGTGAAATGTGTCAGAATTTGAGTTAACACATCAAAATTTCCATTTAACAATTCCTTAAGAAGAAGAGTTTTGTTAATATTGAAATTTGTTGCTCTTATCTTTTAACCCTTTACCTCATATATACGCGAAACAACGCACTTTCGACCCCCCCCCCCCACTTTTTTTAGGTCTAAAATAGTGAAAAAATGTCCTATTCGGGCCCCAAACACATGTTTTCGTTTGAGAAATGTTGCTAAAAAAAGTGAGCATTTTTTCGGCGCCGCCCCCCATCCAAAAGATACATCAGGGGGTTGCCAGAAGGTGGATGGGCCCCTTCTGTTTTGGGGGTTTGAAGGGGGCGGAGCCCCCCTTATCGCCAAGAAAATTTTGGACTTGTGAGAGGCTTAAAATGACCCCAGGTCGATCATAATGTAACGTGTAACCAACGCTGAAAAGCCTTTGACTCTATCTCAATCCATTGAGAAGTTGCAGCACTTTGAAATAAATTTTGATGGAAAAAATCGAGGCAAAATAGTGATTTTTGGCAATTTTGAGATGTCCCCTCGTTGCCATGGTAACAGGAAATTTAAGACTGAGCATGTTGTTACAAAGGCAATGGTCCAGTCAACATTTGTGCCAAGTTTGATTAGTATTGAAGCATTTTTCATGTAAATCATTAGTACTGACTGCACATGATGAAACACCTTTGGTATAGTTATTACATATATATAGCATTGAAATTAACCTCATATGTTTTGGTAACACTTTAAAATCACTGCTGTCGTGTGCATACAATATTACATTTAATAAACGTTTGTTAACGGGACAACAATAAAAATTCAATAATTAAAAGTTTTTCAATTTTCTGAAAAGTTTATGAAAACTAAGTAAACTTTTTTTCATTTTAAATATTGAATTCTGCTAAAGCCGGTGCTAAGGTGTGTGAACGGTAACTTGCACATTCCAGCACCGTCCATGAACAGACTCAATCAAACCGAGCCTGCAAAATTTTCAATATTGTTCTTTTATGCGTTCTTTTAGGATTCCATTTTTCTCTTTATTAAGTAGATTAGAAAAAGAATATGATCAGTGACAACTTATAAGGTTATAGCACCTATGCATTTTACAACGAAAGCATTTTTAACGCAGTTTACAATAAAATGTAGTATCTTCCATTAAGCATTGGCTTCCTCTTGAAATAGCATTTCACTAGTGCAACTTGGCCTACTTTTTCAATTATCAATATTTATCGAACATAATACCACTTGATGGCTGTAATTACTCAATGCCCTGATTTATCAATTACTGACACAAATATGTGACAAATTTGCTTAACCGTAATGATTGTCACCACAATGAACTACACAGAAATCAACTGTTATTGAATTGTCCTTTCTTATGCCATTATAGAAATTGAACATGACTTGTAATCATGAGATATCAGTATTGTTTCATATGACAAGATATAATCAACTTTATAATGTTTGGTTACCATTCAAAATGAAAGAAAAAGATTCTTTGAAATCATTCTCTCAATATAAATTGGACAAATGACTCTACCAGGTTTAAGTTAGGAATTTTATTCCATTCAAATATTTCGTCTGCTAAATGGTCCTTCTTAATAACAACAGTTTTATACGTACAATTATATTTCTTTAAAACTGAAATAAGCAAACGCATGTAAGTTGTTTACTCATTTAAGAATATAAGTCCTTAATTGATTTTAATAATACCTTTATTGCATTATAAATTGAATAGAATTTCATTTCAAATATTCTGTTAAATTAAGTTGTGGTAAATTAAGAAACACCTTTATTTTATGAGCATCAAACAATTAAGTTTACGAAATTATATTATTGTATTTTATATCAATGTTAATTATTATTATTGGTCTATTGTAAGACAATAATCGAATATATGATTATCTCCTAAAATCTCATTTTTCAAAATATTACATTTATCCAATTATTCATTTCAGAAAAGAAAGGCTACTCAAATATAATTTAAAACCGGAGTAATTCCAGTTGGGTTTGGCCAATCGCAACATTACTCCAAGAAACATGTAAGAGCTAACAACAGGCTAAATTTCGAGGCAGTGGCAGTTTGACAGAGATATGAGGATAAAGAGGATGTTAGATCAAGTGGATGACTACGTAATTTTTAATATTCTTTTGATAACTAGTCGCTGAAAGTAGTCATGTCGAATTACAGTCTAAGAGCTGTATCGTATGATGCTTTGGTCCATCAAAAATATCAAGATATCCGCTATACAATTATTACAAATGCCAATGATAAACAGTTTGAAATATTTTTACCATCATTTACATTGATTATAATCTTGATGGTTATTGGAATACCTAGTAATATATTAACTTTGCTTGTATATACTCGGCGTTTAAAGAAAGCTATTGCTAGACAATTTCTTATAACGCTGGCGACATGTGACTTTCTAACATGCGCGGTTGTCATGCCAACAGAACTTGTGATAATGACACACTTTTTCGATTTGGATTTAAGATGGTTGTGCAAGTCCTTTCGGTGGTTTGCCTACAGCGTGAATAATATATCAAGTCTTACACTACTAGCAATTGCTTTTGAACGTTACAGACTAGTCTGCAAGCCTTGGAAACCAAAATTTACAGATGCAACATCAAGGCGCATGTGTTATGTGAATATTATAATATCGGTTGCTATTGCGTTACCAATGTTTTTCGTCTACGGAACACAAACTATTCCGTTATTTGCAATACAAAATATTACCGACGGTAACAGATTTAATACATCTGTGGAAGGTCTAGATGTTCTGATTGACGGAAAGTCATGTTTAATGGATGATGCAATGGAACAATTATCATTTCCATTTTCTGTCGTGACGTCAGTGGCATATATTTCGTCAATTATAATAATATTCCTGGCCCTCATAGTACTCTATAGTCACGTCATAAACTCTTTGGCAAAGCGCCGGAAGGAATCGTTGTGTCAAAAGGAAGGGAAAATGAAAGAGACGTCGGCAAACCGGATACAGAAGATAACATTTATGATGATAATTCTTACACTGTTATTTGAAATTTGCTACCTCCCATGTTTAAGTGTCGTCTGCTTACGTCTTAGTAAACCTGCATATTACAACAAACTCTCGACAGCTGGGAAAACAGTTTTTCAATTGCTGTTAAAGTCCTATCTTTTATGTTCAGCGTTGAACCCGTTTGTCTATTGTTTTTGTAACAACGAATTTTTAGAAGGATTGTTATCTATTCTAAAGGCAGCGTTTCCTTTCCTTTGCAGAAATCAATCGCGATTAAGCTCCGAAAAACATGGCTCAGTTCTTAAGGTAGAAGATAGTAACAAGTTGCCATCAACAAACAAAACTGAAACTATAGAAATACTGTAAATGTAAATCTTTCTGATTCAAAATTTAATCAGGTTAATATCGAAATGTTCCAGAAAATTTAAAGAAACTTATTTTCAACATGTAAGTAAAATTCAAATTCTTAACCATGAGCTCGTGTTATTTTGTAAAATTTCAAAAACCACATAAGAAGTGTCATGATTATACATTAAGAGCCTTTCGGATCGCTTGCATGTGTTATGTACATCAGTGACGCCATTTTACATTGCTTTACGTATGATGTACAAAATATAAACGAAGCATTTCGTTTATTTCTTGTGTTTATATATAGTTTATGTATAGCTTTTGTTCATATTTTATACAAGCGTTTTGAAACATTATTGTTTACAATATATTGTGTATATGCTTTGTCGTTGTTTAACTATACTAAACGTTTTAAATTAGATAATCCAAAACAGTGTCGTCGAACTGAGACATTGATTTAATTTTGACAGAAATTTACATTACATGTATATGATCACGTTTATGTTCTATATATTGTATGTTGTATATCTCACAACGACGGCATATATTAAGTATAGATCTGATTTAATTAAACCAAAGCTTATTATTGGATTAGAAATATCATTGAGTACAGGATTATGCACTACCTACTTTTCATTAAAACAGTGAAGTTTTTGTTTTATGCATAGAAATATTAATTGTAGAGCGTGGTAGCAACATATTTAAAGTAGAAAACACGTATGGCGTGCCATGTAGAAAATAAGATGATATATGAATTTCTGCTTTAATAACTCTTTTACTTTTGCTATCTTTTAAACATATAACATATTTGCAACCCTACAATATATATCAATATGATACATGTAGCGTTCATAAGAGTTTTATGAATTCAAATAATGTTTTGCATAATTTACAGTGTCAAGCATAATGTTTGATTGACTTAAATGATATTGAGATATGTGTATAATATATGGACAAAAAATAAAGAAAATGTACATTGACTCAGAAATAAATGAAATAGAACAAACATTTAATATTGGAAACGGCTGCCATATAAACAAAATTGATATGTCAAGCAAGGAAAGTAGTGAAGTTCTGAACGTAACAGGCTAAAGATGTGTATCATAGAGTGAGTGATATAGTAAGTCAATAATTCTCCTTCATTTCCGTAAAAAAATCCTCTATTGTGTTAACTTGTAAGCTGATAAAACAACACAAATATAGGTAATTAACCCAAAAGAAAAAAATATAATTTATCATTATTAAGCCTTATCATAACAGACATAAATGTTGTGATAATGGTATATATAATGCGATTATATTATATCTTATTCAAGCTGTACTGCAGTAATGATAATAGATTTATGAAATGGTGAACGAGATAAATGAAATATCAATGACATTATTGAAAAGAAAAGCAATGAGGTTAAGAGAAGCATATAACTGTAAATATACTTGAACTGTGAGAAATTTCTTCCAAAACGTATTTGTAGTCAAACAGGTTTTAAGTTTAGAAATGTAAGATATTAGGGGAAAATACTTTTAGAATATTAGGATTAAAATGAACTATGTCATGGCAATAACCTTTGAATCCGATTTGGTTTTACAACCGTGTTGTTATAAAATTTTGTTCTATCCGCTTCTTGTTTTCTTATTCCTAAATTCTTGGAATAACGAATTTTCACATTAAAATCGCTAAGTTAAACATGTAACATCAAGTTGCTGATTATTTTATATTACATCAAGCGCATAATGTCAATAATTTTGAATAGCTTATTTCTGTTTATTGTCAATGAAGAACAACAATAATATTTGCAGATAACAATATCAATTTCAATATTTCGAAAAACAATAATGAACAGACAAATGAAAATGTAAATGTTTGACATGTAGAAAATTGAAGCGACAGGTTCTTGATATTTTGTTCTTCTCATATACTTTCGTGGGCTTTGAAATGAATATTGAAATCAACTCAAA